TGAAATCCCAAAAGGGCGGAGAATCTCAATTATTATTTCCGTTTGGCGGTAACCCTCTACATCCTGAAAAGTGTAATATCACACAACTTCTATAAACCAAAGGACACGATACTTCATCGTGCCATTATACCCACGTCTTGCATCGCGCGCTTTTCTTTTACCTATAAAAGACCACTGTTCATCTTCTTACTTCTTTGCTACACTTCTCAAAAACCCTGAGTAACACTGTATTTTGCAGTAAATGGCGACTTCACAGAGCCATTCCGACAACATCCTTAGTTTCGAAGATTTCCAAAACCTTCTTACCAAGCCGTATATAAATCCAGCTTCCCTTTTACTAGCCAACCCTGACCTCCATGAATTCTATCTAGGCCCGTCATTTAATGATACTGAATCTGTTGGGCAATCGACAGTGGGCCAGCTATTCCCTTGCACTCAAGATCCTCATTTTCTGAACTCTCTATCGCTAAAGCCAATCCGCGAGAAAGGTATTCATACTTAGCCTAAAACTGATACTACTTTTCGCCTGTAGCATGCATGTATGGTAAATCATGGCCCTACTAAGGTGGTTTTTGATTGTGCTAGGATTTCAGATTTATTAGAAATCGTTCTCCGTCCCCCAATCTATGATGCTGTGCTTTTCCCTATTGCTTTAAGTTTTTGGTCCTCTGAGTATAATACTTTTATTTTTCCACTTGACCCAATGTCTAGTACCTTGAGAGATGTTGGAGCCCTAGTAAACCTTTCACCCTTGGGTGACACCATTTCTCCTGCCATTTTGGTTACTGGCGCTACCCTAAAATTTGAGAAAAGATTCACTGATTCTTAGGTGCTGAACCTACTCACGCTGAGCGTGTCACTTTTCTCCAGGTTTAGCTTTGTAAATACATTCTTTGTGTGTCCAGCGTTAAACCCTCCATGAGTTATTTGCCCATAGCGCATGAACTAGCGCGTGGTAGACTTTTAAATCTTTGTTCATTATTCTTAACCCCCTTTTATAGAGGCATGGCTTCCCTTTAATACCAGTTAAGGAATGGTGCATCTCCTAATAGCAGCTAGCCTCTTTGGCTCGCTCAATTGTGGTTGAGAGCATACTTTCTACAACTTGGTGCTCCATCCACTTCTCCTGGTCCATTACTTGTTATGGGCTGGCCATCAACCAATTGAGCCCTGTTAATATGTCCAATAGGGAAGTTTTTTCATTCTTTTATAACTTGAATTCAATCTCTTCCTTTTTTTCCCTTTCATGCTTACTCAATTCCAAAACAAGTGCAACCTCTTTCTACCATGGATGATATAAGCACCTTTTTGCCCATTGGCGCCCAATATTTGACTGGAAAAGAATTGTTCCCCGACCTCTTAACCGGAACAAATGCCAATGCAGGGTTTGAGATATATGCTCCCTAATTTTTTGCCCGTCAGGTCGGTTTTGGCCACACGTGGTCAGTTTTCCCCTATTTTTCCAAAAGCCTGACGGAACGTTTTCATACTATCAATAAAAGAGAGGCACGGTCCATTGATACCCGTAATACTCTTTTGACAACCAATTTCTCCTTGGCCCCTTTTAATCCCACTTTTATCGTTTACCCTCTTTTTGAACAGCTCTGGCCCTTCGTGAAGCATAGGTTATTTACAACTGATGCTAACCGTGCCTTCCACCTGCTAGAGCGGTTGGAGACTTCCTCCACTTTTCCTAATTTTGTCATTCCTGTGTCTATCAGGAATTCCATTTCTCCTTCAAAATCCCCATCTACTCGTGTTAAACATCCTGCTCCATCTAGTTCTCCACCGGCTCAAGCGACACAGTCAAAGGTGCTCCCAGCAGCAAACGGCCAGCCTCAACTTTGCCAAGTTTGCTTGATGATGATGATGTTCCTCTCATTGTCAGGAGACAGGTATTTAAGTTTGTTTATTCATGAGAAAATCCTCTATATGTTAATGTTTTACCTGAATTTTTTAGAAAAGCTCAACTTCTCATTCGAATGCTCTAGCTTTACTGGTCTTTGCTTCACCATCTTCCACCAAAACTACTTCGTCCAAGTTATCTGACGAAGGAGCTTTACCTAAGGAGAAGGCCATGGTCCTAGAGTCTTTGTTCGCGCAGCCAACTGGAGAACTTTCACCTTCCCAGGGAGCTGACCCCCCATGCCCTGAATCAACAGGTAATACATGTTTTGTGGTCTTTTCCTTTGTATGTGTTGTTGGCCTTTAACTCATTATCACTTGATTCTGGCAGAGGCATCCCTAGAACTGCCCATCGTGGAAGAGTCTACTTGTTTGAACAAAGGAAAGTCCCCACAAGTGGTTGTATCGACCAGTGATGTGCCCCAATTTTCAAAAGCTAATGATGAGGTAGCCTTTATTTTATCTTTCATCTTTACTTCGTTCACTGTAATAAAGATGCTAAATACTTGCATTTTCCTTTACAAGATACTGACGACATTTTACGCTCAATTCAGGATGTGTTTACTTTGCGGGAACAAGTAAGGGTAATCGTAGTTTCTCATTCTTCTTCGGCCAGTCGTCCTCTATTTCATCTGCTGCATTCTCAGAGGAAAACATGAATATTCTCAAGCAATCAGTGCTTGAATATGTTTCATTCAGGGATGTGAATATCAACAAGGCCAGTGCTTCCAGCCAAAGAGAAAATTTTGATCTTCTAAGTACTAAAATGGCTCAAGCACTTGAGCTTCCTTCGTTTATAATTTCATCCAACTTTAGGCTGACGTTGAAGATTATCCACTCAAAGATAAGCTCTTTGGTAGCCAGAAATGTTGAGTTAAAGGCCCAGAACACTCAGTATCTCCGTGCTATAACCGTAAAGGAGTCTTTGCTTCAAGAGATT